TCTGACAACAAAGACTGTAGTACTGCGTTTTCGAAACCATGCTCAGTAGCAGCAGTAGACACGCTAACCACCGAGGCAGTAGAACTGCGTCACAACAAATAGTAAGCATAGGAAGAGCACTGCAACGAGTTTTCATGAGGCTGCATTGCTGTCGGCACTTGGACGAGTGCAGCTGCGCGAGTTCACGGCCGGACTGGGGTGGGTGCTTCAGCCGAGGTCTAGTAAGCGCCAGCGCGGCCAGTCGAAGCCCGGGTTGAGGGGTCATCTGGGGTCGGGTTCAGGCCTGAGTCATGGAGCTGTAGGGAACCGAAGGGGATGCAGGAACGTAATTAATCTCTGTGGTCCGTGTGCTGCCCATAGCGCCTAGAATCCCTTTGGATTTGCTGCGCAGCCAGCTGCGAAGGAATTCTCATGTGAGAGCTTTGAAGCGTGCAGCATGTGAAATTGAGTCATGCAAAGCTTCGAAGATTTTGTTTGACTGTTGCAAAGCTTATGTCCAATTTGGAGGCTTAGTCTTGTGGTGCCTGGTTTTCTCTGATTGCTCATGCACCAGTCGCGCGTGGCGGAAGTCACCAATGAGACGGCGGAGGCCTGGACTCGGGAAAAGAAGCTGTTCGTAGCTGCTTTAGGCGGGTGAGCGTTGAACATCGAGGACTTCTGGGTGTTCAGGTTTTCAAGTATTCGATTAGCGTTTCGATGGGCTGAAAGTGCAAGTGTTTCTGGTGTTTTCCGATGAACTTTCGAATCATTGACTTTAGAACCGATCTTCTCCAAACGCGCCGGCCGAACATGCCCTACGCCCCGTCACAATCCAGCTCCACCGCCCAGCAGTGCTTCGAAAGTGATCTCAAAGCCCATGTGTTAACTAGCATTGATGTTCGCACGAGTCATTTTGTCTCGGCCGGTTGGTGACCCAGCCACCATCCCAACTAGCACATGCGGTAGTGCCAGTTCTATACTGAAGCTGCTCCCAGGCAGGGCTCGATATCCGAAACCACAGGCTCCCACTCCCCGAAAGCTGGACAGAAGCAGCTCGGTGAGGCGCTCAAAACGGATGCATTCGTCGTGCAACGAGGCTTGTGCCCCCGAGCATCATGAATGGTTTTCGGGGCATACTCACACGGAGATTGCACCCGTCATTGGAAGCTACTATATGGCTCAAAGAGGTCAATGTTCTGGGAGATTCGGCTTGGGGATGCAGGGGGTTTCTTGATGTGGCTGAGCCCGCTATCACCTCTGTAGGCTTGGGCTGGCCAGATCAATGGTTCCAGTGCGCAAGGCCCACACTCAAACTCTGGTGGATGCCGGGACCGTCTAACTAAGTGATGCGACATATCATGACGTCCAAAGGTTCTACCTTGTTCAGTCGCAAAAGCCTCGAACAAATGGGCAGCGTGAAAAATCCGCACGGGCATTTCTTCGGAAGCCCGTGGCTCGCAGTTCTAGGGTCTTACACATGCACACAGATAAGGCGGATACAGAGAGGAAAGAAACACGGTGAGAGAGTATGAGCTATCCCGTTGCAAAGGGAGCCTTTCCCGGATTTTCGGTGCTGTGCGTTGCAAGCCGAAGAGCTCCAGGCTTGGAGGTCAGCGGAATCTCAGTGACGAGGTGCCGGGGCTTGATACGGTCTTGACTTGAGGCGTCTGGTTTTGGACCCGAATCCAGGATGTACAGGGTTGAGGATACATAGCGACAGATTTCGGTACCGCAGCGAGCGTTTGAATAGAATTTATACAGAAGGAGCTGGGGACCTGAAATTCAAGAATGGAACTATCACTTTCGAATCGCTGCGGGTTTGCGATGGTGGCAAGCCAGGCGTGGACGGATGGTGTTGTGTTTGCAGGGCTTCATATCTATGACGAATGGCCTTCTCACTTCTCACAGATCGTCTGTACCCGGTGTACTAGGTCATGGCCGGCAGAAGCGCCCATGTACATTGGCCTGATAAAATGCTATTGCCAAACCCTCAAGGGTTAGTCGTTACCCTCGAACTATTAACTGCAACGTCTGCGAGACCTAGCCAGCATCCAGGATTTAGGGTTGACGCCATGAGTCCACGAGCCCTGCGACAGTAGACTGTTGGTTTCAAAGCAAGCTGAGGATTGAGCCGGTGGATACGGAAGTCGTGGCGCGGCAGCTGTAAGTCAAAGGGCTTGTGTTGACGGGTTTCGCCTGGACACCATCCCGTTTGCACTTGCAGCATTGCGTTGTAGTGCAGTGCATACTGTGGTTTGGAGAACGGCCTCGCATTCCCGAGCTGTGGATGCTAAAGAGTTTCGTGCTCGCTTGTGATTCATGGCTGAGACCTCGCAAATGACCTCATGCAAACGATGCTTAGGGCTTAGGCTTAGATTGTTCGCTCGACGGGACACTAGCGAGGCCCAAAGAGGCAGATGTCAATGGGCGAGGTTGCAGTAGTCAAAGCAGATGACCCGGCCATGACCCCACCATGCCTCTTGAAGTGGAGTCTTGGGCACCAGTGTTGGTGATGCCGGCCAGTTTCAGGACATCAAGCCTGTGGCAACCTTGGCAAGACCTACCGCTCTTGTCGGGTTTATGAACTGAATTTCGGAAGCATGTGCCCTAGACATCCCCGACTTCACATCTGATGAGCTTCTGCCACAGATGGGATTCAGGCGGAAGCCCTGCAAACGATGATCAAGGCGGTGACACAACACGCCTCCTGTCTGTAGTCTGGAGTGAGCCTTGCATCAAGTATACAATCTTCGGTCCGGCCATAGCACCAAGTGACAAGCCAGAGCATGACTTCGGTTCAAATTCGCTTAGTATCATTGATCGGAAGTGCGTCTTGAACGTCTCTCGGTGCTTCTGGAGTACTGTTCAGTAGTGAGTTGGATTATGATTGAAGAGCATAGATCGCCGAATGAGACTGTTCAAGAGCAGTCTCCCTCGCAAGGAAGTCTGAAGCAATGCTGTTAGTTTTCGTCCAGATCTACATCGTCCTGCACTTTTCTTCCATTTGTATTTCGTCACATTCCATGGAACTTGTTTGCAGTGTTAACAGCTGGAATGAGAATTGCGATGATCATGATGACAGGGAGCTGACGCAGCTGCTGATGTTGCTGATACATCTGCTATTCCCGGCGACTACTACTGCTTCTGCCAAACTGCTCCAACTACGACTGCTGCTGCCACTATTGCTACCACTACAACACCATGACGACGACGACTACTACTACTACTCCTGACACCGCCGCTGCCGCCGCCGCCAGCACCAGCACCAGCACCAGCACCAGCACCAGCACCAGCACCAGCACCAGCACCAGCACCAGCACCAGCACCAGCACCAGCACCAGCACCAGCACCAGCACCAGCACCAGCACCAGCACCAGCACCAGCACCACCACCTGCAACACCACCTTCACCACCACCTTCACCACCACCTTCACTCCCACCTTCCCCACTACCACCACCTTCACCAGGACGAAGGCGACGACTGCTGCTACTGCAACTACTAGTGCCTGCTGATGCTGATACAATTGCTAATACCATTGCTACTGCTACTGCAACTGCTACTGCTACCGCTGCTACTGCGGCAACTCTTATTGCTGCTCGTTCCCGCACTTGTTATACAAGAACTCCGCTCACAATCATCGCCATACTGCGACACAGAGCGACCGTGCATCATTGCTGCATTGCACTGCTTCGCCTAATGAGACGGGCAGGTCCCGTATACCTTGGTAGAACCGAATGTAGCCTGAACTGGGCTGCGGCGCAGTTGGTGGAAGCCCAGGTCGCCGACATGCAGAGCACCGAGACGGCAGATGTGGTGACTTGGCACAAACAGGTAATGCTAGCAAGTTCCAGAGTCGAATTGTGTAGGGGCCCCCGGTTGGAGCGAAGCTATAGGGGCTTTGCACCATTAGTCCTTGTTCACTGAAGCCTTGGTGAAGGTTGAACATGGGAGCTTTCCTGTAGCTTTCATGTCAGCCATCAACCCGGCAACTGCGATTGACATCTAGCTGCATGTCAACCATGCTAGTCTGTGCCGCTGATTTGGCTTCCGCTTTCATTCTGCTTTTCACGAGAACGAGCTTTCTCGAAGTAGTGTTCGGGAACCTTAGGGCTTTTGCTCCCATGTCTTTTGGAGCCGGATATGGATCCATCCGAAAGCCGAGACACTAAACTCTTAGCTACGAAGCTGAGAGCACAGAGTCTGATACGAGTTTCTTAACAGCTTTGCCATGGCGGAAGACGGCATCTACATCTTAACATCGCTCCTGCGATGGATCCTGGGCTGCATGCAGAAGCACTGGCGCGAACTAGTCTAGGCAGTGCAGAGGGTTGGTGACCGCATGGAAGGGTTGCGAGAGACATCCACTGTATTCCGCCTTGAGCCTTGCCTTCTGACCTAGACTCCCGACGTGTCGTGAGATGAAGAGATAAATCGAGATGAAGTAACAAGTGGGCCTGTCTGTCATGGGAGTCCGCGCGCAGAAGCTCCAAACCTGAAGGCCTTCCAATGCAACATGCATAGTGTCCCCTGTAACAGGAAACAGGACCAAGAATTCTTCTAGGCTTCTGATTATTGACCCGTGCTCGTCATGCAGCCGATGGCTATCACACTCCAAGAAGCCTTGAAATCAGGGTCCGAATGGCTGCGAGGAAGAGCTTTGACCAAGAACATCATTAATCACTGAAGCAGGCTGTCAAAGGCCTCAGTGAGCCGAGCAAAAAGAGCTCACAACGACCTTCGAAAGCCCCAACAACCTGTTGGCCTTGTGCGTATGAGCAAGTCCCGCTTTACCGTTTCTGTTATTCTCATTGTTCGACATCTGCAGCCACACTGCATGCGAAGCTGGTCAGGTTTCCTCTCTTCGAGGTGGTGCACTGGCTGCTGGTATGGCTGTCAAAGCGAGTACACCGCCCCTCGGCTTGAACTGAACAGCGCTTTGCGTTTTCAGCTTGCAGGTGAACATGACCATGGAGATCCTAGTGATCGCAGTGTTGCAATGCATGCATCTCTCCAGTCAACAATGCTTCAGAAACCAGACGGAAGCTTGAGAAACTCTGCAGAGCGACGGGAGCCTGAGAAACTCTGCAAAGCGTTGGCCGCCGTGACGGACAAGACCGTCATTGACAAGCCAGACTTTGCAAGTAACAGATCGACAGCCAATGTAGAATCACGTGAGGCTAACTTTACGATAATTACAGAGCAGCGGCTGGCGAAGAACGACAAAAAACTGACTTGCGAAGCCTTGCATCTCCCGCACTTCCAGTGGGTCACCAGACAGTGCCGAGGACCAGACTTCAAAGTGAATCATAACGAGTGGGCCAACCTCATGATTTCCAATGCTCAGGCACCGGGGCTTGAATCCCAGCTGTGCCGCAAACATGAGTAATTAAAGGCATCTGTATGTCAACAAGAGTAAGGAGAAGAACTGGTAGTTTCCATAACAGGAATAAGCTAATGGTAACCAGCAATAATACCAAGAATGATGCTCAGATTCATCATGGTAATCAGCATTCTAAGAATGACCAGTTTAGCAAATACCACCTATGAACAATTCATGATAGCATTGCAGCAGTCAGGAAAATACTAGTCGTGATACTAGCAACAGTTGTAAGCAATAATAATTTGAATGCCAATAGCCGATATTAACAACAACCGATAATCGATAATATTAACGGTAATGACAATCATGAGGGCTAGTCATGGACATAATACGGACAATAATAAACATTTGCAACATAAAATGAACTGCAAACATAAACAGAACAGTACTAGCTGCTACTGCTACTGCTGCTACTGCTCCTGCTCCTGATCCTGCTACTACTAGTGCTGCTACTTGTACTGCTGCTACTGCAACAACAACCACTACATACGACATACTACTGCTACTACCACGACTACTATTACCACCACTACTGACTACGATCACCACTACGACGACGACGACTACTGCCACTACTACGGCGACTATTACTACAAATCATAATAGTATTAATAACAACAAGAACAATCATAATGAGCATATTCGTGGGAGTATCATGAATCCAGAAACTTCTTGCTTGAAGGTCAGGAAGGCCGAGCGACCTCCGCATGATTCCGGCATGTTTCTGTCCAGGCCCTGATCTCTGGCTCTGTGGGTGCCTACGCGTTGCTGTACGAGGCCGAGGGGCTTAGGGGTTAGATCTCGAAGCTCCGGGAAGTGAGCTGGTAAGGGCATGGCAACACCTTGTTCACCTCGCCCTTCGAGAATCCTGAAACCTCGAGAATCCGAGACCTTCTTTTCTTAAGTGGAACACATACATGGAAGCTGCGCGCTTCTGAGGTGTCATCCAATAGAGAAGAATCCTGAAACTTGCACTCAAAGGCCCTGTCATTGACCCACCTGGTTTAAACTGGAAAAGTAGCCTGCTTATTGAAAAAGAAACAGGGGCCTTCTGACATGTGAAGACGTAAGCCTGCATCTTTAGCTACGACTTGATCAAAATCTCGATGCTGTGCAGTGAGTCTAAGTTGTAGCTAGCAATGTAAATCATTCCTCGGCAGGGTCTGCAGATTGGCGTAAATCTGGTGCCAGGAGGCTACCAGATTACAGAGATCAAGCCACGAAGAGCCTGGAAAAGAGCCTGGAATCTGATTCCACAAATGCCAAAGACCTGAAATCCCAGAGGAGCCGTTCGCGAGCACTACGACCAAGGTCTCGGCATGTTTTTTGTTCGAGGAGTTTGAGTTGGTCTTGCGTAAGAGGAAACCGAGGAGTCTGAGATAGACAGCGGGCAGGTAAATTGACCCTCCGACCGTGCGTTTTGTGGACTGGCGCTTCGATGCTTGCAGTTGGTTTTAACTTGCTGAATTTCTGATTCTGAGTTAGTCTCACGTTGTGGTTTCATTGTGTTGTTGCCGGTGCTTGAATTCCTGCATTTGTAAACTGTTCTCGCGAAACCCCGATGTGTTGAGTTGCGAACAGTCTTACCTGTTCGGCAGGTGCTCCGGTTCGACACCTCCATCGACACAGTACACGGCTATTCTCGATCACTGGAGCAGGCTGGCACCGCGATTGTCACAGCAGGTGCACAAAACCAGCAGCAGCAGCAGCAGCAGCAGCAGCAGCACCAGCACCCCCACCACCAGCAGCCCCACCACGTCACGACGACCACCACCGCCGCCGCCGCCACCACCCCCACCACCGCCGCCGCCGCCGCCGCCGCCGTCATCGCCACCGCCAACGCAACAACCACCAGCACCGATAGCACCAGCAGCACCAGCAGCACCAGCAGCGCCAGCAGCGCCAGCAGCACAGTCACCACCAGCACCAGCACCGGCACCAGCACCGGCATCAGCACCATCATGAGCAGCAGCAACATCATCGCGGACCGGCCGCTTTCATCGAGCAGCATTGGCATAGTGTTGTGCTGCAACGGGAAGCAGAAGGAAGGGATGCAGAAAGCAGAGAGGGGTTTCCACCTATCGCTTCACATTCTGCCGTCGTTTCCATTGCCAGAATGCTCCTGTAGCGCACTCGCAAGACATCGTTCTTCGTTTTTCTGTTGTTGTCACTGAGATGTTCCTGGGGTTTGCTTTGCTGTTGCCACTTGCCAAGCCCACTCGACCACGCACCCTCCACCCACGCGCTTACGCAGGCCTCCGCACTCGAGTAGGAGAGGAAGTCCGAAGCGGTGTTTGGCCTGAACTCTAGACAAGCCCGGAACTTCGGCCAAGCTTCTAATGCTTGTAGGTGCTGCCCTTTATCCTGGCCTACTTTGCGTACGACCTCCTGAACATGACGATGTTTATGAGCCATCGGGCATGCAGTCAGACCTGAGGTTGAGCATTTTTGGCTTGTTCAGTTGTAAGTAGAAGGTTTACATTTGACATTGCAGAGTCTGCACCTAATGAGGTCCAGGCCTAGACGAGGGTGGGTGTCTTCCATCTTCTTTTGGTTCAGGTTCGGGGTCGATGCTATGTCGGCTCATGAGTTTCAGTCAAAGCTCACCAGGCCAAAGATCTAAACTGAAAGCAGGTTTGGGCTTATGATCAGCTGGGTAGTAGATGGGTTCGTGGATAAGATTTTCAAGAGGTTTTTCCAACACCTTTTTTGTGCCACTCCAAGGCAGGGGAAGTAGTAGTTGGCTGGTCCAGTACCACTGAATCCCCAGCATCTTTCCACAAGACTCAGGAGACAAGCCTGCGGAAAAGCTCATGCTGATGCACCACGGGCTATGTCTGCTGATTTGGCCATTGAGCTTCCACTACAGAGCCGGTCGCATGGCTAGTCTTCCCAACAAATGGAATCAAACGGACGTCTTTGTGGTATGGCTACAAAGGCTCAACGGAGCCACCTTGGAGGTTCTGCTCTTCTTCGGGCCCGGATAGGATGTCTGGGATTTTGTAGGATTTGCAGTCTTCAGGTCTCCCATTGATGCGCTTCCCTGGGTATGTACGTTTTTGGGGCCATTCTCCACTGTTCGGAAGAACGGCTATGCGCCATGCGCACGCGCGGAATGCTCGAGGATTCCGGATTTTGGATCTTGGATTGGTAGGGGCAGCAACACAAGTATAAGTTAATTCATCTGCAACCATACGAGGGGTGTGCGAAGAAATAAAACGAAATAACCAGTTTTAGGGGTAAGGCTCTCTCTCCCATCACACGCATATCGGCCTCAGTACGGGTTCCAGAAAGGGGTAAGCGGCGACTGCGACGGGAGAGGGATCGCAATGCCCGATCGCGGTTCTCGACACCGCGTCTATAAGACACGATGAGCAGTGGCAGAGGTAACTACTACGTGCTCTATTTCATTGCCGCGGAGCTTTCCACTTCACTTTCGTGGACAGCTGGATACTTTCTCCCTCTTTATGGAGCCCTGCTTGCAATTCAAGGGAGTGGTCTTCCGCCTGAGTTCTGAAGTTATACGTAGTTATAGCTTTGAAGTTTGAAAGGCACGCATGTGGAAGGTTCTCGCATTCGCGACAGACTTGCTGCAGTCAACACCGGGGTTTTGTTGAATTTGGAGCCGTACTCGTCTCTGTCACGTGCACACGCTCTTGTGGCCAGAACTCTCTGGACGCCGTGGAATGACTGTGAGGCTGTTTCTACTTACTAGACTTGCTCGACCTTTCCATCGCTTCTAGCTTTATCGACCCGAGTGCGCATCGGAGGAAAACTATTAGTCTATGCACCTGCTTGGGAGAAACTCTCGGAGCCATGTTCAATCTCAGGAATCACCGGGGCAGCCTACTATGTGATCGGGACATTCACCCTCATAGCGTTCACCACCGTGCGTGCACTTCCCTCACCTTGGATCTGGTGGCTGCTCGCCTGCAGAGTCTACTCTTTGGACTCAAAGCCGTCAACGAAAAATGGGGTCCCTTTGGAGTAGCACGGCAGCGCCCACTCTGTCCTGGATTTTCGGAGTTCGTCGCATGTCTCGTTTGGCCAGAGTTGCACTTGAGACGGTTCGATCCGATAGAAGGTCTGGGCCGATCCGTATCAGGATGGTGCCCGGCGTTGCAATGATTGTCGCAAGCGCTGCATAGGCAAAGTATAAGCAGCACAAGACCTGGACTAGGGCCAGAATGACCACAACAGCAGTCAAATTGCCCCGGAGGAACCTGTAATTAGGGCATCAAGCCTAGTTTTCAATGCAGAACAGGATATATGGCATGTGCTGTCAGTGACAGTAGCCGAATTCCGCACAACATGCTTTAGCGTCTGCCACCAGTGTCTGGTAAGATTGTTGAAGCTTCTGCTGGTATGCTTACTACGATCCCAGCATTTAACGGCATGTTGCTGGTTTTGTTGTGCGAATGGCAACTGCTGCTAGAGTTGTATTCGTAAAGTACACTGCATGATGCTAAAACATACTAGAGTGTAAGTTCCAGTGGTGCTGTACAGCTAAGTAGAATACACTATGGCATATGGTATCATCTGCTGTCAGGCAGCGTCCCCGCCAGCATTCTTTGGAAACAGGGGTGTTTGGGAAGACAACTTGCAATAGGTGTGTGTCGTCGCTGAGAGAGCTTCAAAATCCTCTCCATGTCAGTCTGCGCATCGAGTGCCAATTTGTTTAAAGCTTTCTACACTTGTGTATCCCATCCAGTGTAACTGGGACCCATGGGATTCTCATATCTGTGAGGTCGCTTCTCTCATCGCAGTCCTTCTGGGCAGACGTGCCGGTGGGGATCTATGCCGTGGCCTCTTGGCTCAGGTTTTGGTTGTTTGGGGGAGGAGCGGGACGAGGATGTGTTCACAGCTCCGGGTTAAGGTGACAGCCTTGCAGTCGGAGGGTTTCTTGGGGAGCATTGGAGACTTGACACTCAGAGCTTGCTTTGCAACTTACTGTATTGGTGTGATCGGGACCTTAACATGTTTAAAGTATCATCACTTAGCGCCAATCTCTACATCGGTGTGTGTGTGTGTGTGTCTGTATGCGCGCATACAGACACACACACACACACACTTGACACATCGTGTCGCAGGTCTCGAATCACACTCTCAAAGTCAGAAGAGTCAGCTTCTTGAAGTTATTAGATCTTGTCATTTGGCCAATTGTGAAACAACAGCGTCTTTGGGGTACTTCGGGCGGCCGTTGTGCAGGTACGTCACAGGAACGTCTTCCCGTGATATCACAAGCAAACTGGAGCGTCTTCGTTGGCGCAAGACTCCAGAATGCTTCTTGCGCCCCCTGCCTACATGAAATCGAGGTCCCTTCGAAACAGGGTTGGACACACACAAGCCCGACCGGGCTCATTGCAGGAGCTTGCACATCCCTTGCACGTCACTTGCACATCCCTTGCACATCCCTTGCACGTCACTTGCACATCCCTTGCACATCCCTTGCTGCTTTTTCACTGAGTTTCATGGGAGAGTCTTATGCTCAAGAAACCTAGGAGAGTGGGCTACGAAACCTCAGGAAGCGCAGTCTATGCACTAAGTGCAATTCAACTTCTGCTTCTTCCGCATCAGCATCGAAGTACATGCAACACTGAGTTGCAGTTTGGTACGCAACGCTGGCCAGTGACACAATACTCACTCGCAAACGCTCCTGTACTAGGTCTACGACTGCTCTCATCCACCTTTTTGACGGGCTGCTCAACATGGTGCATGCCACGGCATTGATTTGTGCAAAACGGATGGTGGTATGCAAAGACTGAAAGCCCATGGTCCACTCAACCGAAGAGGACAGCCGAAACTCCTGTATCCCACGTCGCAGGAAAGTGTACGCCACCATGGTGTCAGTAATGGGTTGCGCCTCTTCAGGGTCATCATTTGGATCGAGACGGGTAATGAATGTGATTCTGGTTCTGATCGGCAACACGTACATCAAGATGTTGTCGAGCACGTCAGAAGCAGCCCAGTCCATGATGTTGGGGGTCTACACAATTTTCCGAGTGCTTGAAGCAAAAGCCTGTTGCATGTCTGATGAAAGCAACTCACGACAGCTCAGCACTTGCACGTCTCTGACATGTTACTCTGCACGCTTCTTGCACTGCACTTGCACATACCTCGCACACCCTTGCATATCACTTGCAATCCGCTTGCACATCACTTGCAATCCACTTGCACATCCCTTGCTCGTCACTGCTCTTGAATTGTCACAGAAGTGGTCTCTTTTTATACCGTAACGACGAAATCGACTGGTTCGAGGGTTTGAGCAGTCGTAACAGGTTCTGTAAACCGAAGATGACGAAAGTTTTGTACAAGCTGGAAGGTGTGCAACCTAGGCCACCAGCCGAACTTCTCCCAGAGCTGCATCGCGACAAGGTATTTGGCAACGTTGATGGAATCGTTGATTGACAACTGGATGTGGAGAATAATAGTCTCGTGTCCGGTTGCCCGACTGCATACACGAACCCACATCCGAAAATTGTAGTCGCGGCTCGTACTCCAAGGCAAATTGGCTTCGCGAGCCTTGCGCTTCATGTTGGACAACCTACACAATTTCACTGGATGTCAAATGCTGCAACTCAAGACGGCTCATGCAGAAACCTGAAAATGCACAGTACTGCACACGCGCACTCCACTTGCACGTCACTTGCACATCCCTTGCACATCCCTTGCACGTCACTTGCACGTCCCTTGCACATCCCTTGCAACACCCTTGCAGTGACACTGGCACACAGACGCTTGTTTGCAACTGCTCACGTTTCACTCTGAGACTTCAATTTCTGCTGGAAGCGTTGGGGGCAACTCTGTTGTTTCTTGTAGTTGAAGAGAATTAACGCAATGAGTAGTCACAGATTGAAGAGAATGCAAATCCGTCAGCAAGTTCCCCACCACTTCATTGGTCTTCTGAAGTTTCTGAAACAGTTCTGTGGTGGCGGACATGACTTCCGCCACCTGAGCCTCAGTGTCCCTGATTTGTGTGGTGAGCACGTCGAGTTGGGCTTGTTGGATCTTCTGGACGGACAATGCTTCTTCGCGAAAATGACGGAATTCACCTCTGATTGTGATCAGCTCCTGTTGTGTGTAGGAAATCCAGCGTTGAAGAGGTGCCAACGGATCGCACGCTGAGTTGCTCGACATCAGCGCAATGGAACGAGACTTGAGCAGGGTGCTGCAACACTGTTCTGGTGTGTACAACAACACGAATGAACGAGTACTCTCAGCACTGGCGTCCACTGCACAGTCTTTCCTCACTCCAGCACTCGCATGCGTTACAGATACAAGTGAAATCCTGTCACATCGAGCATACTCAGCTAAGATCAGACGATTGACTGCGTCGAGATCGGCGTGATGCACGTCTTCTGGTAGGCATAGGTTTGGATCTAATCGGAGTACCTGACGCAGCTGAAGATGTAGGTGCGGCCGACGACGAAGCAGCACTGGACACCAAAGGAGGTTCAGACACACGATGCTCCAAGCTTGTTGGTGGTACCGGGGGTGGAAAGACAGGAGCACTGGCATTGGGCGGGGGGAAAAAGGGAGGGGGAAGAGGGGGAGGGAGGGGAGGAGGGGGAAGAGGGGGAGGGCCAGGGGGAGGTAGGGGGGGAGGTGCAGAACTGGACGAAGGGTTGTCGCTCCCTGCACTCGGTGTACTCCTCGTTGCTGGCAGAGAGGATGGGGGTGCATAGGGGTGGGATCTGGACGAACGTGATCCTGAAGCTCCGCTACTGCTAGGACGTTCTTCGCGCAGGTTTGCTCTATCCCTCTCATCCAAGCGACGCAACTCTTGCTGCAGCATTCTTTCTGTCCCGTCACGCACAAAAGCTGTCAACTGAAGTACGAGAGCTTGACGAAGTTGAGGTCGTGATACAAAGTTGAGCAATCTCACACGCGCTGAATGAGTGAGCGCTCTCAAGAACTCATCGATGTTAGGATCCGAAGGTGGCACCGTCGGCATGCTTGCTTACACAGATGATCTCGTCTCTTAGCCAAAAACACTGCGATGCTCAGCACTTGCACGTTTCTGACATGTTACTCTGCTCTGGTAGTTTTTCCAGCAAGTGACATGTAATCCTGTACACTTCCGGTGTCCAAATCAAAATAAGACTCAAACGTTTCGGTTGGGACACTGTGCAACATACCAAAAATGGCAAGCACAGCGGAGGTTAGCTCTGACCAGCATTTTTGCACAAGCCTTTGACCGTGCTGCAGGATTTCGGTGAAACTGCATCGGATCCCCAAGCGTGATATCACTTGCTTCAGAGGGAACAGGTGAACGCTCACGTTTGTCCTTCTTAGACTTCATGGACTTCGGAGACTTATTTGGTGGCCGGTCCTTTTTCAGCCTTTTTGACTTCTTGGACTTCTTGGTCTTCTTGCACTTGTTGGAGGACTTCTTAGCCCAAGACGCCACCTCTGTAGGTGCAGGGTCTTTGGGAGGATCGAAAGCCGAAGACCAGGAGCTGGCATCATCAGGAAGATCATCATATGGTACCCCGTTGTCTTGACGGGAAGCCATGCCGGTGTGTCGAGAAAACAAGACGGAAACGGCTGGCGGCACCTCATGAGTAAAAAAGGAAAAAACGCCTTCGGCTTCACGAGAGACAGAGAGAGAGAGGGGAGAGAGAAAGGGCGAAAGAGACATAAAACCGAGCGTAACGCTCCTACGCGCTGTTTTGCAATGCGCAAAGACGGTTCCACTTCAGTGGTGCAGGCGCTCTAATCCAGTAATGATGAGTGTCCCAAAAATGTCAATTGGGAAAACGAATTAAGCAGACAAGTCGTCTGCTGTTCCAGCAAGACAAAAGCTCTCACGGTGATGCATCTCGCTTGCGTTTTCGGGGTGACAAAGAATTAGCGCTCTCAGTAGGGAGGTTCAAGTCCACCGAAGAAGTGGTCTGAGAAGCTTGGTGCCACTGATTGTCAGCAGCCAAACGATCCGAAATCCAGCGAGAGGTGGCGGGAAACCAAGATTTCCACCACGTTTCATTGCCATTGGGTCCTTGATTTTTCACCCAATAAAATCGCCACGAAACAGTCGGAGAACGCGATCGGGATCGATCCGACATGGCGTGTACCGCTGAAAGCCGAACGCTGGAACTGAACAACGCAATTCAGGAATCACATCTCTTGCACTGCACTTGCACAAATCTCGCACACCCTTGCATAGCACTTGCAATCTGCTTGCACATCACTTGCAATTCGCTTGCACATCCCTTGCAATCCGCTTGCACATCCCTTGCTCGTCACTGTAATCTCTCACTTTCGGTCGACTCAATTGAAGCTAGCTGAGTACACACGTATCAGCTTCGCTAACATTTGCAAATCTCTCACTCATGACGGGGTCAGATCAAGACATGTTGCATACACGTCTGCTGTCAACTGTCAACTGATTACAGACCGCTTTTACCGTTTCATCAAAGCTTCACACAGGCGAAATGGATATCCAAGGTTCGCTAACCACCGTACAAAGGTATGAACGGCGACTTCTGCTTGGCACGTTGGCCAAGTGTACTTACGGATAAGAGAGATTCTCGACTTCGCACCTGACACCAGCAATCGTTCGCTGCCTGCACTCATGGGATGTCGAACTTGCCAAAGGAACTTGGGCTGGAGATAATAAATGGTTCGGTTTCGGACATCAATATCAAATCCCAAAAAGTGACCATCACCGACAGCTTCAAGAACAATCGGAGAACCATAAAAGGTTTCTTGGCTGAAGACTTGAAAAGGCACTGTTTTATGCACTTCGGTGGGTGCAATCACCAAACGATTGTCCACGTATCTTGCAAGGAACGTAGAAGGGAAG